CTCAGGACAATCAGTTCCCAGAGTGAGAAAAAGGAAAGCCGAGTGCTCTGGGTTATGTTAGATAGCTAGGAAGTGGGATGGACCACTGTATTAGTTTCATATCACTGCTGTGATAGGATAAAATCCATGCACCTACAGGGAAGCCCAGTTAATACCACTATTATTTAAATTTACACACCAACCACTAAAGCCAGTGGGGATGAAATAGAAGAATTCTACCAACTTCTTCAATCTGAAATTGATCAAACATACAATAAAGATTTATTGATCATAACTGGTGATTAGAATGCAAAGGTTGGAAGCAAGAGGAAGGATCAGTAGTTGGAATATACGGCCTTGGTGATAGAAATGGTGCTGGGGATTGCATGATAGAATTCTGCAAAATCAATGGTTTGTTCATTTCAAATACCTTCTTTAGACAGCATGGAACTTACCAGATGGAATACACAGAAATCAAATTGACTACATCTGTGGAAAGAGACTGTGGAAAAGTTCCATATCATCAGTCAAAACAAGGCCAGGGGCATCAATCGCTCATATGCAGATTAAGACTGAAGCTGAAGAAAACGAAAACCAGTCCATGAGAACCAAACTATGACCATGAAAATAACCCACCTGAATTTAGATATCATCTGAAAAACAGATTTGATACATTAAACACTAAAGACCGAAGACAAGAAGAGTTGTGGGATGACATCAAGAACATCATATAGGAAGAAAGCAAAAAGTCATTAAGAAGACAAGAAAGAAAAAAAGATCAAAATGGATGTCAGAAGAGACACCGAAACTTGCTCTTCAGCATAGAGATGCTAATGGAAATGGAAGAAATGAGGAGGTACAAGAGCGAAACAGAAAATTTCAAAGGTAGCTTGAGAAGACAAAGTCAAATATTACAACAAAATGTACAAAGATCTGGAGTCAGAAAACCAAAAAGGAAGAACATGCTCAGCATTTCTTAAGCTGGTGGATGGAACTGAAGATAAAATTCAAGCCTCAACTTTCATTATTGAAGGATTCTCTGGGCAAATTATTGAATAATGCAGAAAGCATCAAAAGAACTGTAACAAAAGGAAATGGTTGATGTTCAACCATTTCAAGAGGTGGCATATAATCATGAGCCAATGATACTGAAGGAAGAAGTCCAAGGTGCACTGAAAGAATTGGCAAAAAACAAGGCACCAGAAATTGATGGAATAAAAATCTAAATCTTTCAAGAAAGTGAGGCGGCACTGGAGGCACTCAATCATCTATGCCAAGAAATTTGGTAGACAACTATCTGGTCGACTGATTGGAAGAGGTCCGTATTTGTGCCCATTCCAAAGAGATATGACTCAACGGAATGCAGAAATCATTGGACAAACTCTTTGATACCCCATGTGAGTAAAGTTTTACTAAAAGTAATACAGAAACAGCTGCAAGCATACATTGCCAGAGAACTTCCAGAGGCTCAAGCCAGATTCAGGAGAGGATGTGAAACAAGGGATATTATTGCTGACATCAGATGGATCTTGATTGAAAGCAGAGAATACCAGAAAGATGTTTACCTGTGCTTTATTGACTATGCAAAGGCTTTCAATTGTGTGGATCACAACAAGCTATGGACAACCTTATGAAGTATGAGTATTCCTGACCACTTAATTGTTCTCATGAGGAATCTGTACATGGATCAAGAGGCAGTTGCTAAAACAGAACATGGGAACACTGAATAGTTTAAAATTAACAAAGGTATATGACAGGGTTGTATTCTTACACCATACTTATTCAACCTGTATGCTGAGCAAATAATCTGAGAAGCTGGGTTATATGAAGAAAAACGTGGCATCAGGATTGGAGGAAGACTCATTAAAAACCTGCGATATGCAGAGGATACAGCCTTGTTTATTGAAAGTAAAGAGGACTTAAAATATTTACTGATGAAGATCAAAGAGCACAACATTTGGTATGGATTGTATCTCAATGTAAAGAAAACAAAGATCCCCACCACTGCACCAATAAATAACATTCTTATCAATGGAGAAAAGATTGAAGTTGTCAAGGACTTCATTCTTCTTGGATCTACCATCAACACTCATGGAAGCAGCAGTCAAGAAATCAAACAACATATTGTGTTAGGCAAATATGCTGCTCAAGACCTTTTTCAAGTGTTGAAGAACAAAGATGTCAGCTTGAGGACTAAGGTGCACCTGACCCAAGCCATGGTATTTTCAATAACCTCATATGCATGCGAAAGCTGGACAGCAAATAAGGAAGATCATAGAAGAATTGATGCTTTTGAGTTATGGTGTTGGAGAACAATATTGAAAGTACCATGGGCTGCCAAAAGAACCAACAGATCTATTTTGGAGAAGTGCAGCCAGAGTGCTCCTTGGAGGCCAGGATGGCCAAATTTCATCTCTCATACTTTGGACCTATTGTCAGGAGGGACCAGTCACTGGAGATGGATGTCATGTTTGGTAAGGTGGAGGGTCAGAGAAAAGGAGGAAGACCCCCAGTGAGATGGGTAGGGAAAGTGGCAGCATCAATGGGCTCAAGCATGGCAATAATAGTGAGGTTGGGCCAGGACCAGGCAGTGTTTCATTCTGTTGTGCATAGGATCGCTATGAGTCAGTATGGACTTGATGGCACCTAATAACAACAACAACAACTGCTGTAACAAAATAACTGTGTGACTTCAAGAACAGAAATTTAGATTCTAGAAGCACAAATCAGCCAAGTCATGCTCCGTTCAGAAATCTCTTGAGGAATTCCTCTCTTGTCTCCTCAGCTGCTGATAGCCCCAGGTGTCCCTTGGCATAAATATAGTTTCATCTTAACACAGTTGTTTTCTTCCTCTGACTCTCTGTGTCTCCTCTTTTATGAGTACTCATACTCTAGTGTGAACTCACTAACTGATAACATTTTCAAAAATTATATTTCTAAACAGTATCAGGGGTTGGGAATTCAACATCTCTTTTTAGGGGGGGCAGGGCTACAATTCAAGTTGTAATAACCACTTTCAAGCACTGCACCTCTCACGTAGTCAGGAAAGGGTAGAGGTTGACTGTAAGGATACCTGGTGGACTGGCTTCCTATTTCCCCTCTATTTCTAAGATCAAACACGGGTAATAATCTTACGGTATGGGGAAGACAAGCAAGCAAACAGCCAACATCATATACTATAACTCAGTCAAACGAAAGAATGCCAATGGTTCTGTTCTTTAAGAAGTTGTTTCCCCAACTTCCTTGCTTCTTGCTTGTCTCTTCACCTCAGCTGAGGATGGGAAGCAGAACAGTGAGTGACCATTCTGATGGTTATTGATGACACCTTGAATTACGTGGGCCAGGCCTGCCCTCCAAGGTTCTGCATGATGAAGCCCTCCACCCCTCATTACCTCTCTGGTCCCATTTTCTATCATGCTCTACCTCAAACACTCTGTTCCAGCCACTCTGGCCTTTTCCTTCCCTCAAACATGGCAGATATACTCTTTGCACTTGTTATTCTCTCTGTCCTAAATGCTCACTCATAGAGAGCTGTACGGAGTCCTGGTGTGGCACTGTGGGTTAATGCACCAGACTGCAAAGCCGTCTGAACTGCAAGGTCAGTGGTTCAAGCTCACCAGCTGCTCCTTGGGTCGGAATCGACTCGATGGCATTTAACAACAACAAGAGAGCTGTACAGTGCTCGCCCTCAATTCCGTCTGTCTTTATGCAAAGGCCGGCCCCTCTCTGAAACCTTTCCTCACCACTCTGTTCATTTGCAACCCCTTCCCACCATGTCCCCCTTTATTTTTCTCTTTAGCCCTTATCACCAGTGGGTGCACTTTCTATTTTAACCAGTAACCAGTCTCCTGACATAAACTCCATGAGCCACACATTTTTACCTGTTTTGTTCACACCGTATCTTCAACTCACCAAATGAGTTTTGTCACATAATAGGTGCTTCTTGGTTTGAAGGAAGGACATTTTCTGACAGAAGGAACACCCTGCTCCTTTTCCATGCCCCCCCTCGGTGGGTAGCACATAGTAGGCATCCAGCTGCTCTTGTGGAAGCATAAGGGGTCTTACAAAGTATCTCTCCCGAACCCCTGTCATTTTCAGAGGGATGGGAACAGTCGTCCTCTGATGTGGTCAGGAAAAGTCCAGTCTAACAGCCTAATCACCTTCGGGAGGCTGAGGCTGCCAATAGACATGCAGCTTCTTGCTTTCAGATCACATGCTGTGAAGCCAGGATGGAGCATTCTGTACTGCCTGGTGGGGCAGGGAAACAATTCTTCCTGTAAGTGAAATTCAAATCTGAATTCCTGGGATGCTCCTGTTTTGATTCTAGCAGTGACAGCTTTTATTTTCTCAAGAGGCTGTGTTCCTCAGATCATGCCAAAGCCCGGAACAGTGAGGGCATTAGGACCAAGAGCAAAACGAGTGCTTGGCTCAGGGTTGTATCTGGCAGAAGGCTCTCAGCTGAGTCTGAGTACAGAGCTATGTGTGAAAGGAAATCAGGCACTGCCTGCCGCCTTCACATTTGTTTGATCTGACCCAACTGGAAGCATCCAAAGGGTGTCTGCTGTCAGTTCTGCTGGACTGAGGACCCACCAACTCACCCCGACATCTCTTAGCAACCTGAGCATCCATGCAAGGGGTGTGGGTGGGAGGCAAGGAACTAAACACCTGAGCAGAATGGAATAATTATTTTCCTGAGAAGAAAAACAGGCGGTGCAAACAGAGCAAAGTATTCCATTTGAAGTCTCTGTGAATGGGCTTTCAGAAGGCAATTTGACACGCCCACCTAGAGAGAACCTGGGTTGGATCCTGGGGCCTGTGACTTTCTGATTGCAAGTGAAAGTGTGTCTTACACACACTGTGCACCAATGTCAGATGGAAAGAAAGCAGCTGGTTAAGTGAGAGGACAAAAGCTCCCAGGTGGAACCAGGAACCTAGGTTCTACTGCAAGCTTCAAGGCACCTGGAGCAGGATGAGAAAACAAAGTTGAACATGACCTGTTGCATATGGCAAGTTCCAGCAACATGCTAGTAAGGAAACGATACAGGCATGGACCATGCAAACTGCAGTTCCTGGTGTTGCTCCTGATGCTGGGATGTGTGCTGTTGATGGTGACCACGCTGTACCCTCCTTTGCAGACCCTGCAGCAGGCAAGCACAGCCCAGACCTGTGGGCACAGCCCTGAGGCTGGGTACCGCCTGGACTTTGGGGAATCCCAGGAATGGGTACTGGAGGCTGAGGATGAGGGCCAAGAGTACAGCCCGCTGGACGGCTTGCCCCCCTTAATCTCACTGCAGGAGGATCAGCTCCTGGTGGCTGTGGCCTCACCTAGGGCCAAAAGGAACCAGAGCCAGGGCAGGAGAGGTGGGAGCTACCGGCTCATTAAACAGACAAGTAAGAGGCAGGACGAGGAGACCTCAGAGAGGGACTGGGGGGCCGAGAAGGAAGATGGGGAGGTCTCTGAAGAAGATGAACTTACTCCACTCAGTCTGGACCCTCAAGGCTTCAATGAGGTGCTCAGCCTCCAAATCCCTCTGCAAAGGACCCTGCCTGAGGTGCGGCACCCAAAGTAAGTAAGGCCTTTTCTTTTCCTTGCCCCAGTTCTGGAGTGCAATCAGGTGGTAGACCATGCAGACATGTGATGTTCCTGCACTCTGCCCCCACTGTTCCTAGACCATTGCTTCTCAAAGCGTGGTTTTCTGGACCAGCAGCAGCAGGACCATCACCTGAGGACTAGTTTGAAATGCAAATCCTTGAGCCCCACCTATGAGCTGCTGAATCACAAACCATGCATGGGGCTCAGTGACCCTTGCATTTAACAAGTCTAGGTGAAAGCGGCTGACCCTGAGAGCAGGTAACAAGGAGCTCTGACTTGTTCAATCTCTTCCTTGTTGTGGCTTTTGGCTCTTCTGGCTTTGCATTACCAGGTCAAACAGCTTCCTCTGAAAAAACAGAAACGGAGTTACAGCACATGTTCTTCAATGCAGTTTTAACATCTCCAAGATTTAACATCTCCAAGTTCTAACACTCAGATGCCATTACATTTTGGTATTAGGATTATTGTTAGTATTTGCTTTTATTTTGGATCAAAATAACAAGCATTGCTAAGTTGATATGATTTTGTTACATGGACGTGGCTTGAATCCTGGAGTCCTGATGTGGCTCTGTGGGTTCATTCGCTGTGCTTTAAAGTTAGTTTGAACTGCAAGGTTGGCAGTTCAAGTTCACTCGTCACTCCTTGGAAACCCCATACAGGGTCATTATTAGTTGGAATCGACTCAACAGGATTGAACAACAACAAGGCTCAAATCCAAGAGCTTTTTCTGTACTTACTCACAACATCCTTACAACTGTGTAAAATGGAAGCTAGTTTTTTCATGATGCCTATTTTATAGTATAAGGAGCTCTGGTAGTGTAGTGGTTACAAATTGGGCTGCTAATCTCATGGTCAGCAGTTTGAAAATACCAGCTGTTGCGTGAGAGAAAGATGAGACTTTCTGCTCCCGTAAAGATTTACAGCCTCAGAAACCTTATGTAGGGTCACTGTGAGTTGGAACCGACTCCACAGTACTTAACAACAACAACAACAGTTTTTTGGTATGAAAACAAGGCACAGAGAGACTAAGTAACTCTCCCACAGTCACACAGCTACTAGGTGCAAAGCAGGGATTTGAACCCAGGCTCCAATCTGCCTTCACCTCTCTGCCAACTTCCAGGACAAGCTGTTTTAATAGCCCACTGGCTCCATATGATAAATACTGGACTGCGAACCACAAAGTCGGCAGTTCGAGCCCACGAGCCACTCTACGGAAGAAAGATAAGCCTTTCAGCTACCACAAAGATTTACAGCCTTAGAAACCCTATACAGGGCAGCTATGAGTTGGAACTGACGGGATGGCACTTAACAACAACAAAGGGACTAGTGCCAATGCCCCAAACTAGAATACAGTGCTGACCTGGCCACAGCCTAACCCCGTAGGGTGGCCCCAGCCCTACGCATCCTCAGGAGGCAAGGTGTAGGTGTGGATGACACACAGCATAGCCATATCCGGGGAGGTGGTGGGTACAGAGAGGTAGAGGAACCCTCCCAAATGCCACCCTATCACCACCCTGACTGGCCATGAAGAGGGGGTCTGGATACATCCAGGAGGGAACAGAAGCAATGCCCCACTCTCCTCGCCCTAGTCAGGACCTGCTATGGGATCTTCAGGTCTTTTCAGGAAACTGCTAGGTCCATCCCACTTCCAGTCCCCTTTCATACCCACCCAGGCACCCAGCCCAGCTAGGCTGAGTGATCTAGATCCTCTCCCTGTAAGCCATTGCTCTTCCTGGAGCCCAGAGAGTTATCTTAAGAAGTAAGCACTCTCTGTTCTTCCAAGGCCTGGACTAAACTGAAGTGAGTGGTGTGCTTGAGGCAAGATTTAAGGAGGTACTCACTCTCAGAGTTGGGCAAATACAGGGTCAGCACCTAGTAGTGAACGCCTCCTTAAAGTTTGTACTCTAGGTGCCTCACTCACCTCACCCTAGTCCAGGACCCAGCTACTCTCAAGACTTCAGGTCCAACCCAGTCTGATGCTGTCTTGGCACCCTGGGGATTTCATTCTTAGCCCTTGTTACAACCAAAGCTAGTTAATGTGTTTCTTTTTCTCAATGCCTGCTTCTCTGTGGGCTCCATGGAAGGTCCAGTTTGAGGCTGTGTTGTACAGCCCAATGTGCAACACAAAGTAAAGAAACAATTGCTGAATGAATGAACGTACATCGAATTTTCAAGACTCTTTTACTAGATTTTCTCATTAGTCTAAAGGAAGGATGAGTTATCACTATTTTGCCAAAAGGAAACATTGCTTTGAAGAAGCTCTCTGGCTACCAAAGCTGTGTGTGTGTATGTGGGACTGTGTGTCCACATTGTGTGAGTATATTGTATGTATACATGTATGTGGATGCAGTGTGTATGTTTATGCATGTATGTTGTGTGTGTAGTGTGTATAGTACATGTATGTGGTACCTATCCAGTATATATGTGGAACAAGTGTACGCTGAGCATGTGTTGTGGCATGCATATGTATGAGTTGTTATGTTGTGCACATGTGTGTTGTGTTGTCTGCTACATGTGTGCTGTTTGATACATTTGTGATGTGGTATGCATCGGTATTATGCATGTGTGTCATGATGTGTTTATTTCACATGTTTGTGTCATGTGTGCACGAGTACTGTATTGTGTTGCATGTGTAGAATGTTCATGCATTTCTATTATGTGGGTGTGCACCACATGTGTTGTATGTTTATGTGCGTATATGTTGTGTGGGTGGTACATGTGCAAGTGCGTTGTATAGATTATAGGTGGTATGGCATGCACGGTTGTGTGATGTGTCTGTGTGTGTAGTGCAACCGTGGGTGCATTTGCATTGTGTTTGTGATGTGCATATGTGTGTACCATTTCAATGGTTGTTTTTCCAGCCCTATGTCCAGCACCCCCTCCTGCTAGGGTAACTAACTTCTCCACATTTGCCCAGGACTTTCCTGGCGCTTTCAGCACTGAAAGCCCTGTTGCACTGTCGTGCTGCAGTGAGGAAACCCCTGAATTCCAGGGAAGCTGGACAGTTGTTCTTCCCACCCCAGCTTCCGGATCTCACGGGACCGCCCCCAGCTCTATCCAGAGGTGTGCGGCGCCCTCTGCTGGTTCTAGCCTGCTTGGCATCCTGTGCATCCCAGGCCTTGGCTTCCTCTCCCAGCTGCAGTTGGGACCTCCCCTTCCTGGCAACACGCCAGGTTACACAGGGAGTCCTTGAAAACCAAGGGTCTAACTCCTATCCCCCCTCATCCAGGTTAATAGAACGCCTCCTCCCATCTCTTTAAAGACTGAACCATAATACAGTCCTTTGAAAACAAAACAAAAGGAAATTCCACATAGTAAGCACCTACTGTGTGCACAGTCCTGCACTGCTGCTTTCTAGTTCAGAGCCTGGAGAACACTAGAGCACTCTGTGAGTCTCTGCATCCTGCTGCATTGCCCCAAGTGACATCACCTGGCCTCACCCAGATATACTGGGCTCCATTGCCTAACCAAGACAAGACTTGCTGGCCCCAATTCTGTATCAAAATCTCAAACCAGCCTTGGTCTCTGATAGTTCCCCTTTTCTAGACTACAGGCCTTTTCGGAACAACTTTAGGGTCATAATTGGAGGTCAGTTTGAGAAGCAGGCATGCAAAGGAAGTTACCAACAATGCAAGATGGAAAAAATAAAGTCAGTATGAGAGAGGTCAAAAGACAGCTCTTGGAAAGAGGTAGCATTGTGTTGAAGATTTGTTGAGTACTTACTATGTGCCAGGTACTAAGTGGTTGTCATTCATTTAATATTCATATCAGTCCCAAAAGGTAGGTCATGAGCCATGGAGTTGGTTTCTACTCATAGTGACCCTGTATAGGGTTTCTGAGGCTGTAAATCTTTAAGGGAGCAGAACGCCTTGTCTTTTTTCTGCGGAACTGCTAGTAGTTTCGAACTGCAGACTTTGATGTTAGCAGCCCAACTCATAACCACTACACTACCAGAGCTCCTTTTATGGATAAGAAAATGAGGCACAGAAAGAAGAAGGCAATGGTCTCAGGTTACCTGACCAGGTATATCTAACACCAAAGGCATGCTCTTAACCACCATACTTTGTGTTCCATACTGTATGTTCACTATTACTTAGTAACCTTGTGCAAATCACTCAAGTTCTCAGAGCCTTAGTTTTCTCATCTGTAAAATGGAGATGATAATGAAACATCTGCAGAGGGCTGGTTGTAGATTAGACGAGACAAAATATGTGTTGATTCTTTACCGCACTAAATTTCATACAGCTGTTGGCCTTTCTCATGTTCTTTGAGTAAAGGACCCAGGAGTAAGTTGGAGAGGTGGAGGGAAAATGGAGCAGGTAACTGTGGATATCACAACAAGGTCCTTCCTCTGACTAAAGGGTTATTTTCTACCCCTTGGGGATGCTAACTCATCAGATCACAAATCTGGATACACCTTGGAATTATCTGGAAAGTCGGAAGAATTACACATGCTCAGGTCACATTTCTAGAGATTCTTACTTCACTGGCCTGGGATGAGGCCTGGGTGTCTGGAGATTTAAAACCTCTCCAGGTGGTACTAATGTGCAGCTAGGGTTGAAAACAAGGGCTGCAAGGCATTAGGTTGCCTGCTGCCCAGAAGGCCACGGGTGCAGGGACAGAATCATTTTGGCAGTAGTTTTGTTGTCAAGAAGAAGGGGGTGTTGCAATCCACGATGGTCCATTCAGTTCCCTTGTGAAGCCTGTGTCCTGCCAGGCAGTGAGTCACTCCAGGATGACATCCCTCACCCCTTATTGGCTCACTTAGCTGGGACTGCAAAGGAGACAGAAGACAGCTGACAGAATGTCAATTAATCTGAGAACGTGGGCACAAGCCTGGCGGGCAGGGCGCATCGGACGGAGGAGGGAGCAGGAACGGGAATGGGGGGTGGCTGGAACTCAGCTCATCCCATTGAGGCGAAACAACCCAGGTTGGACAGAATGAGTGGGTTTTGGACCTTGGAACCTACAGC